TGTAATTATGTCCCATGCACAACTTAGGACATACTTATACTAAAAATAAAAGTATTTAGTATTTATCTGAAATTTAAATTTAACTGGCAGTGTTAGATTTTTATTTGCTAATTCTGGCAACCCTAACAGGGTGGCAAGTAAAAATAAGAAGAGCAAGGCTCTGGTAAAAAGGAGCAACCCATCCTGCTTCATCACTGTAGACCATCAAGACAACCACAAGGAGCCCCGTGTGGTGATAACTCCACTAGAATGCCAAGCATCATTATAACCATTCTGTGTCTGTCTCTCCCTGGAGCTTAATTTTAATTTGCTGATTACAATGCCACAAAATCCTAAGCTTGTAGCTGGTGGTATGGGTTGAATTATGTCCCTTTTAAAATTCACCTGATGTCCTAACTCCCAACACTTCACATGGTGACTTTATTTGAAAATGGGGTTTTGCAGATTAATTCTTTAAGATGAGGCCGTAGTGGAGCAGGAAATTTGGATAGAGTCCGACATGTGAAGACTGACATGCTACCACAAGCTGGGAGCTGCCAGAAGCTTGGAGAAAGGCCTGGAACAGGCCCTTCCCCAGCACCTTCAGAGGAGCACGGCCCTGCTGGTCCCTTGATCTCAGACCTCTAGACTCCCTAGTCTGAGATAATAAATTTCTGTTGTTGAAGCCACTCAGTTTATCATACTTGCTACATAGCTCTAGGAGACCAAGACTGAGAGCTTGGAAGAACAGAGTAGAGAAAAAGAGGGAGTCACAGCAAAACAAGGCAGTCAAGAAAATGCCTCAAAGTCACTATTGTGTCTCTTTTCCTTAGAACTTGAAAGCCTCAGAAAGGAAGACAGGAATTTACAAACAATAGACCACTTTGTATGAAAAGTCTCTCCTCTACTAAAATTCAATTGTAAATGTTGAGTTGAGTGAGTTACACAGGACTTAAAGAAGTCTTAGAAGTCAGAATTTACCCTAGTTAGACAAAAAAGGAGACATTTCCAAGTACTTCCAGCCCTGAAAAAGTTTTGGGGGAGGGTTTTAGAAATCACAGCCTTAACAGACCTGTTATTGTAAAGTGTTTTTTCCCATGAGAAGTCTGCTTTCCTCCAGTTCTTACAAACCAAACATTACCATATTGGGTTGGTGATTAAGGAGCTCAAAACAGAATTAAGCAGGCTATACTGATTTCATTGTCTCTCTTGATTATCTTCTTGTCATATTTCGAATAGCCCCAAATGGCAAGATTTAAACAGATAGACTAACAATACTTCATCTTTTCCTTCTAAAGTAACTGAAACCCCCTTGGTCTAGAATGGATTCTAACATACCTCTACCTAGGCCTCCTGCAAGCCTGGAGGAGGATTCCAGAAGCAGAATCCAATAGTCCCACCCTGGAAAAATGCCGACCCTGGCTGGCTGCAGGCACACTGGCCTGTGTTCAGTCACTAGAACACGCTGGGTGTTTGTTCCTCTGGCGAGGGCCTTTACACACGTGAATTCCTATTTCAGGAAGGCTTTCTTCTGCCCAGATCCCTCTTTATGTCCCCAAGCACAACCCTCCTTCACCCCCCACAGCTCAAAAGTCAGCTTCTCAAAAACACTTTTGTTCTCACCCATTCATCTTTACCAATCACACAGCCTTGTATACTTCTTTTATGACCTTATTGCAATTATAATTATGTACTGTTTATTTATTATCTATCTCTCCCTTAAATTGCTTTCCATGTAGGGCTTGTCCCACAATAGGCACACAAATACTTGTCTGGATTGATCACAGAACTAGTTAAACACATGAAGACAGGATGAGATGGGCAGAGGCACTCCCAAGATGACGAGTTCTTCATGCCCAGAGGTCTAGTCTGGTCCTGGAGCACACAGCCTACACCTCTCACCTCAACTGTGAGACAGATGCAGTAGGTTATCACTTATCTGCTGATTCTCTAAGAAGGCTCTTTCTATGATAAAAGAACTTCCTGGGCACGTGCACATCAACTGATATGGTTCCCAGGACAACACTTTCTCATGGCAAATTATTAGTGTTGAGTTATGATCTGGCATTCCACATAAGTTGCCTTGGGGGAGAAATGAAATGAAAATACCAGCACAGTATTTGATAGTTGAACATCTCTTTATAAATTTACAAACTGACATGCTGACCTTTAAAAAATGAAAAGCCTATGTACTTTTATGTTTACAGAAATTCCTCAAAAACTTAGAATTTATGGGTCATAAGTATTAGATAACAGGATATTTTGGAAATGCATATAAAATATTTAAAAAGTATATTATACTTGACCCAGAAATTCTAGCAGTAGGAATTTATCCTGTGAAAATAATCATGAAAGAACACAAAAATCTAGCTGCAATAATGTTCACTGTAGTTTACAATAAAAACTAGAAACTTAAATATCCAATAATATGAAGTTGACTATATAGTTTGTGGTAGTCCCTATTAAGAAACACTATAAAGCTTTTAAAATATCTTGTTGAATGGAATAATAATCAATAATATGGGAAAGATACACTACATTCTACTAACAAAAAAAGTGTTTCACCTCAAAATGTTTTAACTAAAGTTTTTGCTGAGTGTGGGGTCCATGTGTAGTTTCTATCTTCTTATGTTTTTCTGTATTTTATACATTTTTCTCAAAGAGTTATATATTTCTCATATAAATACATTCTGAAAAATATTTAAAAATAAATTTTACCTAGTTACAGAGGACAAATACTATATGATTCTATGTGTATAAAGCACCTAGTGTTATCAGACTGAGACAGAAGGTAGAATGATGGTTTCCAAGGGCTGTGAGGAGGGTAGAACAGGGAGTTATTGTTTAATGGGTATGGAGTTCCAGTTCTACAAGATGAAGAGAGTTCTAGAGATGGATGATACCACATTGTGAATGTCCTTAATGCCACTATACTAAATGGTTAAGATGGTAAATTTTGTGCTGGGTACAGTGACACATGACTGCAATCCCAGTTATTCAGAGGTAGTCAGGAGAATCACTTGAGCCCACGAGTTCGAGGCCAGCCTGGGCAACATAGCAAGACCTTGTCTCAAAAAAAAAAAAAAAAAAAGATGGTAAATTTTATGTTATGCATATTTTACTACCTTTTGTTTGTTTGTTTTTCCCTTTTGGAGATGGGACTGCAGGTGCATGCCCTGCTATTTTACCACAGTTTCTAAAAAAACAACTAATTTTTTAAAATTCACTAAATAATAAATATATATAGGTGTCTCAGGATTTTTAAGTGACAGAGTAAAAGAAACATGACTCTGACCTTGGACCATATGGCACTGAGCAACAGAATCCATTATGCCTACCAGGGCTGGAGTATGACATGGGACCAACAGGCCTCTGCCTTGTTCCTGAACACTTGTGCTGCCTGTGGCCTTTTCTGGCTCATTGTGGTGGTCTTTTCTGGCTCACTAAGACTGAGACATGCTTTCTCATGGTCTCTCCTTCCTAGGAATGGAATTTTCTTCCTCTTTTGCCACTGTGTTTCAGTTTGACTCTTCAATGAATGAACTGAGTTGGCTGCCCCAAAAGTATGACTTCTGCCAAAGCCTGGCCAGTGACTGCAGGGGGCAGGTGGGCCCAGGAAAGACTTGTGGCTGCATCTTCTGTGGACCACAGGATCATGGATTAGCCATCAAAATCTTTCCACTAGTAGCTGGTAGAGTCAGAAACAGAGAGGAAACTCATCTTAATGTCAAGGCAATGTACCTCTCTAGTGCAATGTACCTCTCTTTCTCTAGGGGAAAGCTAGATTCAGCAAGCAAACATCCTCCCCTTGTTCAACAAGATGGCACCCACACTGTCTAGATAAGAAAAAGTGGTGCCTGGTTCCTGGGGTGGGAGCTAAGAAGCCCAATATAGACCCAAGGCCCAAGGGCTGGTCTTGGCCTGAAGATGTTTTGGTTTGGTCCACATAATGGTGGCCTGCTCACAAAATTTCAAAATTAGTTGCCAACATTTAAAAACCAAATTCTTCTGTCCCCCTTTCTTTCTTCCCCCATTCTCCATTGATAGGGTCTCCCTACATTGCCCAGGCTGGTTTCAAACATGCAATCCTTCTGCCTCAGCTTCTTGAGTAGCTAGGAATACAGATATATAACACCATGTCCAGTTACTTTAAATCTTTTATTTGTTTGTTATTTTTTTGGTACTGGGTATTGAACCCAGCACTTTGTGCAGGCTAAGCACAAGCTCTACTGATGAGCTATAATCTCTAAAAATCAGAGCACTTCTACCTAGAGATTTCTTCCGGTTCTCTGCAGGGGGGGAAAAGTAAAGCTCTCAGCCAGCCTGTGTTGATAACAACTATGTGCTCACAACTGGCTGGAGGTGAGCAGAAGCTACCCCTTTAGTGAGTTCTCTGTCCAGTTCAGCCCAGCCTAGCCTAGCCCAGCTCTGTGCCCACCTGGCTCTGCTGCTGAAGAGATACAGCTCCACAACTGTTCTGGAAACTGCTTATGAAGACCCGATACCTGGCACCACACAGGCTCCCCAGAAATACATGGCAACTGCAGGTCAGATTATGGTGCAACCGCTGGGGTCAATGGCTTTCCTGTCAGTCCTGTCAAGACATGTGTCTGGGCCTGGGTTTACTCCTGACCCCAATCCAGTCAGCGTGCAGCGCTCTGTTCCCGGAGCACATCTCCATGCACCATCACAGTGAAACATCCTGGCCACCCTCCTCGTTGAGAAAATTAAGAAGATTTTTAGTTCTCTTGAGAAGGGATCAATGGTCATGGTGCTGTAAGTTTTGTCCGCAACAGAATCAACTAGAGGCTCTAAGGAGAGGAGTAAGCACTGAAGCAATCCAGGGTGCTTATCCTCTGACAACTGCAGCTGGAGCACAGAGGGAAGCCCCTTGCTGATCTCGCACTAGGAGGATGAGATGAAATCACTGAAAGGTCACACTTGCACAGGGGAGAGGGATGTTTTCCAAGTCCTTCAGGGTTAACAGGACCAGGCAAGATAGAGCCCAGTGCTTTTCTTACCTGCTGCAGGCACGCTAACGTTATACTGAGGTAAAATAAATAGGAAGGCAGTCTTGGCTGTGACCTGCAAAACAAAGGAAAAAATGCTCCAGTTTAACTTCTTGGCCACATCAAAAGAAACAAATGGAGTCTGCTACCAGTTCCCAGAGCCTATCTCTTTTACATCTTAGACCCCAGACCTCTAGGATGAAGGGTTTTACCTAAGGCAGAGTTAGCACCAATTTTTGTTTCATTTTTCTTTAATGACATCCCTCCCAATACCTGCAGAGGGAAAAAAAAAAACCTTGGGCTCCAGATGGTATTGAGACTTGTATGAACTGCAGATGGAATGAAACAAGCTGCACTTGGCAGGCTTAGAGCTCACAAGGGAGGGGTACAAATCTGTCATTCATTCATTCATCATTTATTCATTCATTCATGCATGCATGTGTGTATTAAGTTCATTCTATGCACCCAACTTTGTAGAAGATGAGGTCACAGACTTCAAGGGGCCTAGGACCTACCTGATGTTTCTCCAGTGTTGGTTTGTTTTTTTTTGTTTGTTTGTTTTGTTTTGTTTTTTGCCTGTACATTGGACAACGACCCCAAAAGTTTAAACCTGAGCTTCAGAAACAGAGAACTCCAGCTGCTAATTTCACATCTACCTATTATGGGGTATGGGACAAAAACATTACATTCCACACTGCTGGCTTGTTTATTTCGAAAGTTACCTTCAATTTTTTGGTGGGCTATGAAAAATGTGTGGTTGTCACCTGATTATTAATAGCTAAATCTGTACTGTGACAATTTAGCCAGCAAAGGAGAGATGACAAAATGTGGGGATTTGAAGCTTGAACTGAAGAACTGTCTGGGTTCAGATGTTGGCTCTGCTAGCCATCAGCAATTCCACACTCTGAGCTCAGCATCCTTAACTATAAGATTGGAGCTATTTGTAGTCCCTTAGCTGGTCTGGAGTGAAACTCACCTTGAGCTGCTGTTGAAAGATCCCCAGATGTGCAGCCAGGGCTATGAACCATCACCTACCCTGTTCTAAGAGGGGCACCAAGGCTAGGTGAGAAGGAAGTAACTTTCCCAGAGGGCCTCAGTAAGGGGCTAGTGGTTTTCCTCTACATATTCAGGTCAGACGACTGCACATGGTGTGAGGTGGGCAGGGGGCCAAAGTAGTAATGGAAATAGAGAAAAGATGCTTACGGACTCCCCATGTCACTCCAACTCCGGACACACCAGTGAGAGGGGACTGTTCTTAGCCTAACCTCCTTTAAAGAGAAAAAGCATCCCCAGCCAACTAGACCTGTGGCTCTGCAGTGGGCTGTCATTCACTTCCTACAGGAGGCGATGCATGGGGAGCCTTTTCATGCATTTGTGCTAAGGCCTTAAACATGTTCTACAAGTGTGCAGGGAAACCCAAATGGGATCAGTCATGAGAAGGCACTCTGGAGAATAAAGCACCAAACATGCAGGTCTTCCTCAACCCCCATCCCAAAATTTGATTACTTTGGTGCTTAAGGCCTTCTTCAGTCTCCCCAACATATCTTCCAGTCCAATTGTCTATATTTTCTTTAGAACAGATGTGCTTAGTTTCAGCTGAAATGTTCTACTCACTACTTCCTTTTGGGGGCTTTGGCCCCTCTCATTTTGTATTCTCCTTCTCCTATACCCCATCTCTGCTTGCAAGCGCGTGCACGCACACACACACACATACACACACACACACACATATCACAACTCAGAATATCATCCTTCATGAACCAGCTCAACTGTGACTTCCTCCGTAAACCTTCCCTAGATGCTCCCAGGGAATGGTCTGTCCTTCCCTGGAAGGTCAGTACCACACTCCTCTGTTATCATTTTTACATAGCTTTCATCAGGCCATCACCTCCTAGAAGATGGAGATTGTGCTTCTCATTTATCTTCGCATGTGCTCTCCAGTACCTAACCCAGATGCATAAAGTGCTCAGTAACTTCTCACTGAATAAGATGAAAAACAAAAAGCCCAATCTATTTCCCTCACCTGTAAATGTTTCCCCAGCCTCCAGTGGGAGCCATCCCCAGCACTGTCACTCAAGCGGTCCTGTCACACATAGCCTTCTCCTTACGACCTGCCCAGCTCCTAAACCACCCAAATCCATCTCTAGCACAAAGTCCTTCCAGACCACTCTGGCACCCCTGTCTGAACTACTCATAGTGCTCCTCCTTAACCCAACCACCTTTCTTTCTGTGTTATCTGCCATTAACTCCTTCAGGGTTAAATTCTGTCTTCACAGACTGAAATCCCTGTGAGGAAAGATCAGAGGAGGCAGAAGAAATGGGGAAAAGGAAGTAGAGAAGAGAAAGGCAGGCAGGCAGAAAATATTAACCAAACACTCTATCTTGCCCCAGCACATATCTCTCACTTGGTTCATTCAGAAAATGTTCTCATCTTCTTAATCTGTGGGGTGGAAGGGCTTCCTTAGGGAAATGCTTCTCCTCCATTGTGTGTGGGCAAAGGGTACATGTGGGGTTACTTCTGGTGCCTAGCTTCTTCCTGAGAGAATGAAAGAGATAGATCCTCTGCCCAAAACATGAGCCCAGCCAGTGGGACGCAGTCTCTTGGGCTGTAGATCTCCTAGGCCAGACTGGAGGAAGTGCCAGACAGTGCTACAAACCCACAGAGTCTGCTACTTTGGTTCCTGCAGTCCTGGCCCTGAAGTACTCATGGGTCATCAGCCTCCTGAGGTTGGCTGGTGTCCATTTCTAAGAAATGTTATTATTTAATGTGTATAGCACTAGTATTCAACTTTGGCTACAAATATAATCCTGGAGAAGCTGTAAAAATCTCTATGCCCGGACCACACCCCAGCCAATTAAACCAGACCCTCAGGGGCATCGGCATTTTGTCCAGCTGTCCAGAACATTCCAACTGGTGGCCAAGTCTGAGAACCATTACACTTACTTTTTTTTTAGAGGAAGACAGAACTTGGTTGTGAGCTTCACATATATTCTTTCTCTAGTCCTGTATATACAGTCAATTCTCATTATTCACGATAGTTATGTTCAATGAAGTCACTGTGAACATGGAATCAGTGAATACTAAAACACTGCACCTAGAAGTAGGGTCCTAAAAGCCTCTGTACACTTTTTTACCAGCAGATAAATATATAATCTTGTTTTTTGTGTGTGTGCTTCCATTTAAAATTCCCTATTTAATGTATAGGGTCAATTCTTTAACACTGAAATTATGACCAACAGCACTATAATTCATGCCTGAATCAAGTTTATTTAACACACACATTTTCTCCATAAGGCACAGCACAGCCATCTTGTGCTTTGGCACACGAGACAGCACTCCAACACATCATTTGGGGACCATTTTATAACACTGAAATACCAACAAGAACACAAAAAATGCAAAAAGAAAAAAAAAGTGGCACTAAATCAACTGCAAAAAGGACACTTGTTCACAGTATGTGAGCTGGAACAAGAAGGCAGAGCATGGCCTCATTTCGTCTCAGCTGGGAACATGCATGTTGGGCAACCTGAAGTTTCTGCCCCACTGTGTACATCTGTGAATGACCACATGAAAGCCAAATATTAGTTCTGGGGTCATATATAAATTTTGACAAGTAAGTGAATTTGCAAAAACAAAATCCACAAATAATGAGGATCAAATATTTGAGGGCAAACATGAAGGTCAGCTCCACAAGGTCCAAGATCTTTTGAACAGCTTTATTACGGTATAATTTATACACCATGAAATTCTGTCATTTCAAGTGACAACCCTAAGGGATTTGTCTTCATTTTAAAACTGTCTCTCCCTTCATGGGAATACAAATTCAAGGAGAGGAGCTCAACTGCCTTGATGATGATCCTCAATGTGCAGCCACAAAAGGTATGGAGGACACAGTTACACTAAGTAATAAATGCTTGATATCTGGTCACAGTAATCAAGCAAAAGAGCCAGAGCTCTGCTCAGCTACCTGATCTGCAACCTGCTACCTGCTCATGCTTATACTCCTGTGCACATTTCCCCTCCCTAGGTCTCTCCCAGTACTGAGCATGCAGTAGGTATCTCATAAATACCCATTTGATGAACTCATCCTGCAAGCAGCTGTGATATTTGGTAACCACAGATGAATGCTTAACATATGTTTTCTGAACATGATTCTAAGAGAACAGGATTTAGGACCCTGAATTAAGGCAAAAATACTAGATCTAACATTTTTCCTTCCTTACCCCATGGGAAGTGGTAGCAGAAACCAATTCTAAAACATGCATCTTTCTTTGTAAGTAGCTATGCTTGCTCCCACTTTACCATATCTGAGCCAGATAGCATCAGTTTTCCTGTTTTATGGATGAAGAAACTAAGCCTGGGGCACAGACAGGCAAAGTTGTTTCCCAAGACCTCACAACTACACAAACAGGAAAGGTAATAGTCAACTCAGTTTTACAAACTTACTCCAAAATCAAGCTTAGCAAACCCACAATATGTCAAATAATAGAATGGTAACATAAAGTGGAAGCCAGAGGGGGGTGGTAAGAAGTAGCGGGGAGAGAAAGAGGAGGAAAAAGAAGGTGACATTAGTCAAAAAGAGCAATCCTACTTGTCCAGCGTGAAAAACACTCTCTGCTTTCAAAGGCCCTTTGGAACCCCAAATCTTCATTCCCTAACCCTCTCCTGACCTCAGACCAGGTACCAAATGATTAACAAGCCCCTCTCTGCAAGCACTGGCTGGGTTCATGTAGCACAGAGGGCGGAGAAACAGGACCTATTAAAAATGTCATTCCAATTATTTCTCATCCCTCTAAGGCTGTTTATAGGAAACATTATTGAGTTTAATAGCATTTTAAATGCCAAGCTCAGTGGGCGAAAGGTTAAAAGTGACAACATGCTAATACATTAATGCAAAGAAGAACACTAAATTACATGGGAGGGGCCACCTCTCTCTCTCTCATATATATATACACACACACACACACACACAGAGAGAGAGAGAGAGAGAGAGAGAGAAAGCTTCATTAGAATTTTAACTCAATCAGGGCATCAAACACAAAGTCATGTTGCACGTATCTGTCTAGTCCTAATAA